ATATACAAAGATAGGAAGCATGGGAGAGTTCCGTGGACCCAGAAGTTGTAGAAGCTCCTGGATCTGATTACGTCTACCAGGAAAACTAGACAACAGATCATCCAAGCTAAAGGATTCTCCTTCTTCTCCAAGCACAAGGTCACTGAGAGTTGGCGGCTGAGAACTACTTGCATTAGTTTCTTCAACTACATTCTTTGAAGGGGTAGCTGCAGCGGAGGATCTGGTTGTTCTCCTTGTGGTTTTTGGGCTTTCCTCTTTACCCATGTCTGAATTCTGGCAGAAAAAGAAAAACAGTAACATTAAAGATACAAATTTGAGTACAGCCAACATTTAAGACAAACAATAGCACCTAGGAATTACAATGCAAACCAACAGCAAAAAGTGGATTCAAAATGAAGAAGTATTGAATCAGCTAATCAAACACAAAGCTGAGAACTACTTGCATTAGTTTCTTCAACTACATTCTTTGAAGGGGTAGCTGCAGCGGAGGATCTGGTTGTTCTCCTTGTGGTTTTTGGGCTTTCCTCTTTACCCATGTCTGAATTCTGGCAGAAAAAGAAAAACAGTAACATTAAAGATACGAATTTGAGTAGAGCCAACATTTAAGACAAACAATAGGACCTAGGAAAAAATGAATCTTCAATTTTCTCGGGAACCAAACAAGATTAGGTTTAAAAAATGAGGGAGGGGAGAAGCATCGAGTAGATAGGGGTTGAGGATTACTTGATCGGAAAACCCACCGGAATGTTCGCCGGAGAGACGAAAGAAATGCTAAGGAGAAGCAGTAACTGTATGTGACAGAACCCTCTGATCTGAATCGAAACCCTAACAAGTTCGTTTTTTGTTTTTATCTTATTTTTTTGGTCAGAAATCATTTTATAAGGTTAGTTGACAGAATAAGGAAAGCGCGGGAAACTTCTTTCCCGCCCAATTATCTCCAGTTTGAGTGCGGAAGGCCTATTAGGAGAGTATGTGTGATGGGCCGATGGACATGTTCTTTTTCTTTCATGAAAATGGCCAAAAGTTATAGTTAATTTTCCCTTCCCTTTTTTTTTTCTTTTTTGTTTACTGAAAGGGATAATTCGAACTTCGGACGTCTTCTACCATTGTAACTAGCCCCTTGGGCAGCATGTGCCAAATGTTTTTTTTTTTGGTTATTTTATTTTAAAATTTAAAAAGATAATGGGTAGTTGTGTTTCATAAAAATAGAACCCATTATCTGATTTTGTTTTTAATTATAATTATTTTTTAATATGAAAAAAGTGTAAATTTACCATATTATCTTGATTTAATTAATAATTTCAATTCTAAATGTTTGTGTGGGGGACTTTTTTGTTGGGAAGGCTTAGCTGTGCTGAATAGTTGAGATGTGAGGCGTTGGTGTCTGTGTATTTAATTGAGTTTGACTGTGGTTTTGCTGTTGTAAGGGTTTAATGCTAGAAGGTAGGAAATTGGAGATTGGGTAATAAATGTTGGAAGGTTGGCAGAAGGCGTGTTCTCTCTGCTGGGAGCTTCTATAATGAGGAGGCTATTTGAGGAGGCCCATCTCACCATCAAAAGGGGTGTGGTCCCCCAATGCCCCCCCCCCAAAATGTACTTTGTTTTTGGTTGTTGATGGTGAGATTTCACCTCCTCAAATAACCTCCTCACTCTAGCCTCTCCACTCTCTGGTTACCCATTCAACGGGCTTAAGAAAATGAGCTTGGGTTTTGGAGCTCCCAAACAGCCTAAAACCTTCATTCTTTTGAACCGTCGATGGGCCTCATGGATACTTGTAACCATATCCACCACAACCCACTCAGCAAGCCCTAGGCATATATGTGGCTTGGGCCCACTTAAGCTTGTCGGATGGTTTAGCATAGGAAAATGTATTATTGGCTTGGCATGACATGTACATTATTTTCTATATTTATTTAATGAATTAATCCCAAAATACAACTTTGATTAACGCATGACCAACATTATATGTTATATTGGGCTTGAAATATGTTTGGACTTCTCGTGACATCTTGGGTCTTAACAGTTTGTATATTAATCAAGGGCATTTTTTGGTATTTTGAATGTTTCACAATTCTATTCATTTTGCTTATATATATACTAGCCTATCCGTATGCGCTTCCGCGCCTACAAGGCCTTTTTAAAAAAATAAATAAATTTATTTTAGAATTAAAAAAGATAATGGGTGGTTGTGTTCCATAAAAAGAGGATCCATTATCTGATATTTCTTTTAATTTTAAAATTTTTTAATATGAAAAAGTGTGAATTTACCATATTATCCTCATTTAATTAATAATTTCAATTCTTAATGTTTGCATTAACCAAGGGTATTTTTTGGTATTTTGAATGTTTCACCATTCTCTGCCTTTTGCTTTATATATATATATATATATATATATTATATATAGATACATATATATGAAAAATTCCCATTAAGACCTAGAGTAGCTTTAGTAAGTAATTTTTTTTTAACATTTAAATTAGTTAATGGTATTTATTGAGATTTTGGCATTTTTTGTTGTTGTTGCCGAAGTTAGGAAGGGGAAGGGGGAAAACCTCACACACAC